GTTCCACTACACGCCCATCAACTTTGTGTGGCCCAGCACACATTGCTGCATCCACCTCTTCAACACAAGAGTAAGTCACAAAACCAAAGCCTCTGGAGTGTTTTGTTTGAGGATCTCTCATTACCACACAATGTGTGAGTGTGCCCCATTTTTCAAAATGTTCTCTTAAACTATCATCGGTAGTTTCAAAACTCAGACCACCAATAAACAGCTTCCTCAATTGCTCTGGCTCCTTTGGATCATGGCCCTCCATTTTGAGACCGACTTTTCTTATTTTTAATCTCATTAAATTGCCAAGTTGTTCAGGCTGGGCTCAAAGTTCATATTCTCCTGCCTCAGGCAAGGTTTCTTTTTTATATTTGTTTGTTTGTTTTGAGACAGTCTCTCTATGTAGTGCAGGCTGGCCTTGAACTCACAGTGACCCACCTGCCTCTGCCTCTGGAGTGCTGGGTTTACACGTGTGCATCACCACGCCCAGCTCTCAGAGAAAGTTTCTGAGGAGGAGAGCAATGTGGTCAGAGCCACAGTGGGGAAGTGGTCACTGGTGTCAGTGCTTCCTGGAGCAGCTATGTCCTGGGGACCAAGGGTGTCCCTTGGTCTGCTGCCATGGCTCCAGCCCACTACAGCCTGTGATGGTTCAGTTTTCCCACTTGATGGGGCCACCTCGGATTGAAGGTGTTTTCATCCCTTAAAGTCACACATCTGCTTGACTGCCCTCACGCCCTCCTAGAACATGAGAAGGACGAAGGTCCAAGGGCCGCCCAAGTCACCCAGAACCTAGGGACAAGGGCTGAGTGGCTGGAGTGCTGGGTGCACGGACATTACCTTCCCTTTTCCACCTGTCTTCCAGATGATTACGATGTCCTGTCCTTCCTGACCTTCAGTCTGAGCAATCCCAGTCCAGAGGTGAGGCCAGCTGAGCCCACGTGAGACAGCCTGGGGTCTCCTATCCGCAGACACCCAACAGATCCCCTTGAGCTGACCCCTTCCCTTGTGCAGTGCAGCTCTGGGGACCAGGCTTTGCCCTCAGGCCTCCCAGGCTGTCAGGACCAGGTTGTGACAGGACAGCGCACTGACCAGCACTGGTGGTCAACAGATACAGGAGTTTGTGGGGCCCAGAGGAGAGGTCAGAACCAGCCTGGGAATCAGGAGGCTGCCCGGAGGAGGTGGCCTTGAATGAGGCTGGGGAGTGGTGGCGGAAAGGGGTAGCAACAGTGACAGAGACTGAGCTTCCATGGCTGGAAACCAGGTTGGTGACCAAGCATAGGGCTCTTCCCTGGAGGGAGAATGCTTAATCATAGAGGTGCGCCCCTGAGGGCAGACTCCCCACTTCTGCATCACACATGGATTGAGGGGTCTGATCTTTCATCTGCTTCTTGCAGGCTTCTCCCAGGCCCTTCCTGGAGACAGAGCAACTCCACCTGGCCAAGCAGCTGGAAGAGCTGAGGGAAAGGCTGGGCCTGGGCACTAGGAAGAACATGCATCCACAGCCAAATGCCAGAGCCCAGGAAGAAGGTAGTGGCCAGGAGCAGGGGCATCATAGGACCCTGTTCTTAGAACCAGGAGTCCTTTAACCCATGGGGAGGTGGCCACTTGAAGCCATATTTAGCAGAACCTTAGCCAAGGTTTTCTGTCCTATCCTGACTTCGCCACCTGGACATATTCCAGAGGTCCTTAGGCAGAAATTACACCTTCTGATGCCCCTTCTAAGAAGCGCCCCCCTGCAAAAAATACTGCCTGTTACCCTGCTAGAGTTGCCACCCATCTTAGCTCTGCCCTGTTCTCCAGAGGAAAGGCTCTTTGACCTGCAGGAGACTCTGAGCAGACACAGCCGCATCCTGCAGGCCCTCTGGGGTCTCTCGGAGCACCTGGCCCAGGTCAAGAAGCAATGGAAGCAGCAGCTCGGATCTCTAGGCTGGGCCAGATCTGACGGATGGGTGAGTGGCCCGTGTGCATACACAGCGCCACCTATGGGCTTCAAAGAGCAGCCAGAGCTGGGTGTGGTGCTGCACATCTGTAATCCCAGCACTTGGGAGGCTGAGGCAGGAGGACTACCATGAGTTCCAGGCTAGCCTGAGCTATATAGTTAGATTCTATCTCAAAAAAAGAAAAAGAAAGAAAAAGAGCAGCAGGTGTCAGAGCCATGCACAGGTCTCCCCTAAGGTGTGGCAGGCAAGGAGGGGAGGGGTGAAAGGTTGATGATCACAGGGTGGGGCAGCATGGCCTGTGGGAGAGCGTCTCTGGATAAGCAAATGCCCATCCAGCAGGGCAGGGAAGAGGCAATCCAATTTGGATCAGGACCACAGACAAACGACAGAAATAGACTACGTACCAATTTGCATGTGGCTGCACATGTGATTTGCATATGGCTTGCTTAATGCTCGGCTGCACAAATCCTCATTTCATCTCCACTGTCATCCTGGCTCCTCCCCGGAGAGCCGTGCCTCAGGCATGCCCTGCCAGGGGGCCTGGGAGCTAAACCAGGCATTTGGCCAAGCAAAGGCCAGCAGCTCCTGCAGGGTTTGTTGGGCTCTGACGGCTGAGGTTTCAATACTTCTGTTCCTAGGTCAGAGCAGCTTAGAGAGGATCCCACCCCACAGGACGAGTCCTCTTGATTCTACCTCCAGGCCCAAGACCCCTCCTGCCAGATCCCATCCACCCCATCAGAGGCAGCTACCTTTCCAGGCCACTTGACAGGGCAGGGACTCAAAGTATGGGTATTAACCAGTCCTGGCCCCCAGCTTAGATCACACACCCTGGGAGGCAGGGACAGAGAGGATGGGATGGGAGGGATTAGAAGTGGGAGGATTTTGAAAAATCCAGGAGTGGCACAGATGGGCAGGGCACCCTCAGGGAAGGGGGCTTGAGATCAGGAGGAGACTGCAGATACCAGATGGAGAGAGAGGTGAGGGAAGCACAGTGCCTCTAAAATGAAGAGGGCAAAGCTAGCATGGTGTTGCACATCTATGATTCTACCTTTCAGGAGGCTGAGGTAGGAAGATTTTTTTGAGTTCTAGGCCAGCCTGTGCTACACACCGAGTTTAAGCCCAGCCCAGACTACACAGTAAGACCATGTCTCAGAAAACCAAAAAATAAAACAAAGAGACTTCTGGTACTCTGTTAAAGCCCCTGGAAGGAGGTGGCTGCATTTTCCCTCAAGGAAGGAAGGTGGTCCTGAGACTGTGGACTCTGGATCTTGGATGAGATGCTGCCCCTTTCCCCCTATAGGACTCTGCCAAAGTCAGCACCTTGAATTATGGACAGCGAACTCTGCTCCAGAGCTTGCAAGAAATAAGGTAAGAGAGAGGGAGTGGGGAGGAGGGGTGAGGGAAGAGAACCTCCCACTCCCACCATTGTGCCTCTGCCTGAAGAGGGTCCATGGGTCCAGCAGCCCTTTATTTCATGGCTTCCTGAGCACTCAGCACGGAGCTTGGCAGGGACTTGGGCTAGGGCTTGGACTGGCTGAATTGACCTGAATTTAACTGATGAGTTTAAAGTCTTAAAAGACCATCAAAAGAAACTCTTCCCCGAGCATGGTAGCACTGTAATCCCAGTACTGGGAGGCTGAGGCAGGAGACTCACTATGAGTTTGAGGACAACCTGGGCTACAGAGTGAGTTCAAGACCAGCCTGTATGGCATAGTGAAACTCAGTCTCAGAAAAGAGTTTATTTTTTGATGGCATATACATATATCAACTCCCTGTGCTAAATAGAATCATTATATACTACAAATATGTGCTAATAAAAATAGAAACAGAAGTTTATAAAAGGAAAAGACCATCATGCCTCATGAGACATTCCCATCCCAGGCAGGGATAGTAAACCTGAGCTTCCTTTCAGCAACAGCTTTCAGAAGGAGCCAGCATTTGATAAGAGGTTTTGGAGGGATACAGCCAAGACCAGGCCAGCTAGAAGAGGCATCTCTGGGTTTCCTCTGCTCTCTACCAGTCTCTCAGCCTCCCATGATGGAGCCTCAGGCCTAGGAGTAACTGGTGGAGTCCTGGGCTGGTAGATCGCTGGGTGCATGGATGCCCATTCCCCACCACATCTAGGAGCCTGGGATGGCAAGGAGGAGAAGCCTAAGGAAAAGAAGCCAAATAACTTGGGGCCTGGAGAGGGGGGCAAAGGCAGAACCCAGGAAGACAGTGGTTGAGCCAAGCAGCTTTAAGGAGATCTTTGTCCAGGCTAAATCTGTCTCAGAGCCCAAAAAGAAGGACAGGGACAAAGACCAACCCCCCAAAGGATGGTGTCTGTTCTCCATCCATGCCCTGACCTAGGGATCATGGAGGATGCTCTGGGTGCCACTGGAACCTGAATAAGTGACCTCCTTGTGTCCACCGCGGCAGGGATGTTGCTGCACGCATGGCCTTAGAAAGCCGGGTTGTCTCTCTGCCTGTGGGCACCGAACATCACTTTTTGGAGCTGGACCAGATCCTGAGTCTCTTGCACAAGGATCTTCAGGGCACAGAGGTGAGAGATGAGGAAGAGGTGCATGAGGCCCCACTCACTGAGGTCCGGACTCTGCTACCCTCTCCCAACATTTCTGCAGCCCCACATGACCACTGTCTTTGCCTGCCTCCCAGGGACCAAGCAGGCATGTCTGTGTATCTGTGTCTCAGTATGCACACGGGTGTTCGAGGACATGGGTCCTACCTCTCCACCCTGTCTGCTATCTGGGGAGTTGCACCAACTTGGCAGCAACAGGACCTGGGGCCCCTTCGGTGTCCACTCTCTCATGACTGTAAGGAAATGGGTGGCTTTGTCTAAGATCACTTAGCGTTCAGCAGTGGAGCCCTAATGCCCTGTGCCACCCTTCCCTTCTTGGTCTTTCCCTTGCCCCCACCCTGTGCCTGTCTGATCCCTCCCTCTTCCTCTACCCTTCATCTCTTGACCCATTGGCTCCTGATGATTGCAGACTCCAGGTCTTCCCACTTTTCCCACAGATACATGGAGGAAGCAACACTGTATACTGCCCCTCTCCAGTCAAAATAACTGGGGTGGACACATGAGGCCCAAGCATGGTACAGATTCAAGGGCCCCCTCCCTCCTGGGTTGCAAGCTGAGTGAGGACCCCAGACTCTTTCCTTTCAGAAAGCAGCAGGGAAGGGCTCCCGGCTACCTGGCTGGCACCCAGGGACCCCTGCGTGCCTGCAGCCTGGCATCTTCCTGCTCTTCCTCCTCATCCAGACTGCAGGCTTCTTCTACTATGTGTACTTCAGGTGGGTTCCTGTGAGTCAGGCACCCCACATTGCCTATCCACGTGGCTCTGTGCTGTCACTGTTCAGGTTAACTGAAAGCAGCAGAATCCAGGCTTGGATCCTATGCAGCCCCCTGCCCATCTACTCCTGCCTCACAGAGCTCCCCACAGTGAGGAGGTGGCCAGGAGCTGACAGTGACACCTCCACGGTTGGCACTCATGACCTAAGCTCAGGGACTGTGGGAGCACAGGAGAAAGCACATGAAAATAGTGAATCAACCTGGACACAGGGAAAGGACTTTCGAGATGGGTCATCAAGGCGATTAGGAGTTTTCCAACCTGCCAAGATAGGTAAAGGTCTCACTGGATAAGAAAAGGCACAGGAGGAGCCAGGGAGATGGCTAGGGGCCAGGGAGATGGCTCAGTGGAATAAGTGCTTCCCTGGCAAGCACAAGGACCTGAGTTCAATCCCCAGTTCCGCAAAAAAAAAAAAAAAAAAAAGGCACAGGAACACTCAGTACTGTTAGAGATGAGCAGGATCAGTTTGTGAGCTGGGCAAAAGGTAACAGAAAAAGGTGGAGGGATGCTGAGCATAGTGGCACACACCTTTTATTTCAGCACTGTAGAGTCTGAGGCAGAAGGAATGATAGTTTGAGCTCAGGGCTGGGAGGTAGCAACTGCCTGGAAAGCACAAGGTCCCAAGTTCAATCCCTGGTACCGTATGCTGTGCTGGTCCTGGATACTGGCATGGTCCCAGAAACGGGCATGGTGGCGCACACCTGTCATCCTAGCACTGGGGAGGCTGAGACAGAAAAATCACTATGAGTCCGAGCTGCATAGTGAGACCCTGTATCATGTTTTTTAAAAATGTTTTTTTTGCCGGAAAAATGTTTTTAAGGGGGCTGAGGAGATGGCTCAGTAGGATGAGCGCTTGACTGGCAAACGCAAGGATCTGAGTTCAATCCCTGGTTCAAAAAAAGAAAAAATGTTTTTAAGGGATGGGGATGTAGCTCAGTGCAAGTGGTCTGGGTCCAGTCCCTAGTACTGCCCCTCACAAAATGTGGAGGAGGTGGGAGGTGACTCTTCTTGGTGGGCAGTGGGTGTTTGCTGAATGAATGTGTACCACCTACAGATGTAGATACACTGAGCCTCAGAAATGCTGGGGGAATTTCAAGACGAAATGAATTCATGTGGACTGGGCTGGTCCTGGAGGAAAAGTGGAAGGTGCTGAGCTTCAAGAGGCACAAAGTAGAAATGATCATGGGCTCCTGGGAACGCACAGGAGTGCAGTTCTGGACTAAGGCACACAATTGAACCTTAAATGACAAGGGGAAATGTGAACCTTGAGTGGCAGGGAAAGGGAACCATAAGGAACCTGGAGAAGGGGAGGCTCTGGGGCATTGAGTAGAGGGAGGTTTCAAGGGGGTTTCAAGGGGCCAGGCAGGGTCTATAATCCCAGGACATGGGGGACAGGGGCTGAGGCAAGGGGATCACTGCAAGTTTGAGACCATCCTGGGCTATAAGGTGAGTTCAAGTCCAGCCTGAACTATATAATGAGACTCTGTAGCAGGAAAAAAAAAAAAAAAAAAAAAAGGCTGGGAAGGGAGAGACCCAAGTAATAGTCCTCTCTTCCTCTCTCCCTGGCAGCAGACAGGAGCTGGACAAGAGACTTCAGGAGTGCTGGTCCCTGGGGAGCCTCCCTCTGGGTCTTGCACCAGCCGTTCCCAGGGTGTTGGGGGCCTCAAGGAGGCAGCCCTTCTCCAGCACTCAGGCTTGACCCATATCCACACCACTTCTGGGGAAGCAAGTGGCATCTGGGGCATGGACAGCTTGGGCTGTGTCCTCTTCCACTGCGTGTCCAGCTATGCTGACTCCTGACATTCACAACCCCACCTTATTAAAGCAGCTTCTCTGTCCCCGTGCTTTGATGTGTTCATTGACTTTCCACCTCCTCTGGGTAGGGAGTGGCCAGGTGGGCTCCAAGCTGCAGGGAGGCCAAGGTCTTAACACAGAAAGAACATACAACAGTCCTGAAGGAGGAGTCAAGCTGCTTGCAACTCCACTGCCAAGGAATGGTGGCTCTCAGCGTTCCTCCTGACTCAGCCCCGCCAAAATCGCCAAACCATTCACCCCATCTAAGCAGCTCCAGGGACAGCAAGGCAGGGATCTGATAGAGGAACCCTAGAAGCCATTCCTGAGCCCTAACTGGGATTCTTGCTCCGGCTCCCAGCTTCCTCCCCGCCCCCCACCCCATTTATGGCCTCAAGCTCTTTGGGTTGCTGCAGGGATCAGCATTTGAAGTAAGCGAGGACAGGAGTGCTTCGCTGCTAGAAGGACAGAATGTACCTGGAATCCATCGTGTACCTGGAATCCAGGATTGGAATTACCCAGGTGTGGAGGGATTGGAGGAGACAAGGCAGGGTCCCACGGGGAGCGAACCCCCCACCGCAGGCCCTAATCCGCTGTCAGCGCGGCGGGGAGCTCGGCGTGGTGGAACGAGGAGGCACGTGGGGTGTGTGGGCTGCACGTGGTCCTGCCGATCCAGCCCCGTGCGCCCCCCCCGCGTACGGGGGAGGGGCTGTGGGGCGGGGCCGGGGAATGGGGCGGGACTCTCGGGAGCTGTCCGGGCAGTCAGTTCTGAAGTCGGCGCGGACGTGCAGTGCCCGTGCGGTACCCGACGCTGTTGCCCCCGCCGGCAGAGACCATGGCGTTCATGGTGAAGACCATGGTGGGTGGCCAGCTGAAGAACCTCACCGGGAGCCTGGGGGGCGGCGAGGACAAGGGAGACGGGGACAAGTCGGCCGCCGAGGCTCAGGGCATGAGCCGAGAAGAGTATGAGGAGTATCAGAAGCAACTGGTGGAAGAGAAGTGAGTGGGATTCCTGGCCCCATTGATACCCCACAAACACACACACACACACACACACACACACACACACACACACACACACACAGACATTTGCAGCTGCCGGGCCACCCCTGGGCCAGCCTGCAGCCCAAGCCCCTTCCTCTTCCTCCTTGAACTTGCTAAGAGGCTGGGGATGTCCTCCAGCTGCTCCCCACCAGCCCCTCTGCATACCCAGGACCCCGTTCCAGCTTCCTGTGGCCCTGAGGGAATGGGGAAGGAAGACCCGTGCCTAGGGTGGGGAGGCAAGTGCACGTGCATTTCTGATGAAGCAGGTAATCCCTTAATCCGATCTGTTCTGAGCCTTCAGACTAGGGCTTTTCTGAGCCTCAGGCTCTGAGGAAAGAGCTGCTCAGAAAGGGCTCAGAGTTGTAGAGACAGGTTCTGAGAGTTGGGCACTCCTGCATAATGAGCCTACTGTGTTCCTGCACTGCTGGGACAGAGCAGAGCTGAGGTGGAGCTAAGGACTGCACTCTGGGTCCACATCCTGGCATGGCTTTTTATTAACTGGGTTACTTTAGGCAAGTTACTTAACCTTCCTGTGCCTCCCTTCCTCTTCTGGAAACAGGGTGGTAATCATACTATGTGGCTTAAATATTTATGAAGATGAAATGACTTGTGCATGTAAACCACTCAGCACAGTGCCTGGGCACGTGGGAGAGCATTAAACATTAGCTACGGTTACTTCACTTAATAGTGGCAATTTTGTGAGTTGCAAATTCTCACCCCCATTTTACAGAACAAGAAGGTAAATGACTTACAAAGTGGTAATGGAGCCTGAGTCTGTTGTGAATAGTCTCCTCCATGGGTTACAGTTGTCAGGGAGGGAAAGGCAGTTGGTTAAGTTCTACACAGAGCTGTGGTGATGGGGCACACTGTGCTGGGGACAGGCAGCAGACTTACCTAGCATGCCAGGTTCAAGCATCCCAGCTTCATGCTGGCCAGCAAGTGGAGCCAATGCCACCTGCCACTGGACCCTGAGACCCCTCTCTCACAGCCCCCTCAGCCCTTGTGGTGACATCACCCTCTGCTCCCACAGGATGGAGCGGGATGCACAGTTCATGCAGAGGAAAGCAGAGCGGGCCACACTGCGGAGTCACTTCCGAGACAAGTATCGACTGCCCAAGGTACATGGGGGCTGTGAGGCACACCTGGGACCCTGAGATCCTCCAGCCAAGGGGTGTTGCCGCTCTCAGCCCATGAGCCTCATCGTGTGCAGTTTTGTCCACTCATTTGCTCATGAACTGCTGTGGTTAACCAGCTTCCTTCAGGCCAGGACTTGGTGCTGAGGGAAAGCCCAATTTTCTGGAGACTGGCAGTGTTTCTGGTGTCAGTCCAAGCCCTTTCTCGTTTCCAACCCACTCCCAATGCTAGCTTGGTCAGGCACAGCCCACAGGGGCTTGGAAGAGGCAGAAAGCAGATTTTGCCTGGGGCTTCTGAGGGTGAGGTGGAGGAGAGAAGGTAGGTGATGTGTGTGTGTGCGCGTGTGTGTGCGTGTGTGTGTGTGTGTGTGTGCCGGATGTGTGAATATCTTCACCTTCACAGTCTCACCTAAACCTCCAGTAATACCGCTGAGCAGCTGTCTCCCACCTGCAAGTGAGGAAACTGAGTCTCAGAGACAGGAAGAGACTTGGGGGAAAAAAAGAAGGGACTTGGCTAAGGTCATGCAATCAAGGAAGGATGGAGTTTGAGCCTGTGCCCCAGGCATCCAGGCACCTACAGAGAACAAAGGACCCTCTCACTGGCCAGGCAGCCCAGGAGCTGTTTCATGAAGCTCTCATCCCCTAAGTAGTGCCTAAGGGAGACTGTTGCCTATCAAGGAAACTGAAAAAAAAAAAAAAAAAAAAAAAAAGGAAACTGAGACACAAGCCACTCCAAAAATGTCACCCTCATGTGCCCAGAATTGTGCTAGAGCTAGACTCTGCAGGGCAAGGAAGTCAAGTGCTATCAACACTCCTGACCTTGATCTTCACTTGAACTGAAAGATCAAATACATAGACATCACATGCACTCATGCAACAAATGTTTACTGAGGCCCTGCTGCCCCTGGCTCCCCACAGGGCACTGCTCTTTTGAAAGCCTCTTGAAGGGAAAACTGATCTGGAAAGCCTGACTTACTCTAAATGCAGCTAAGAATAAATGGAGTCCTTCCTCAAATGTTGGCACTGGCATACTAGAGACACGACACAGCCAAGCATGATGGTGTGCACTTGTAATCTTAGCATCCAGCATTTTAGGAGCCTAATGCAGGGGGCTCACAACTTTGAGCCCAACCTGGACAACTTAGCAACTTGGTGAAAATTTACCTTAGAATTAGTAACATACATATACTTATTTCATTCTAACATACCTGTTCCATTAAAAAGGGCTGAGGATGTAGCACAATGCAAAGGCCTTGGCCCTAGTTTCAAGCCCCAGTTATACATACACACACACACACACACACACACACACACACACACACACACAGGGTGGGGTGGGGACAGAAAGTCCCAGTTCCTCTCAGAGGGACCCAAAAATGCATTGTTTATCAGCTGGTGCCAGGAAGAACATGGACATTGACATCAGCGACATAGGTTTGAATCTATCTCCTTCACGTCCTGGTTGTGTGATGCAGGCAATTTACTTAAATGATCTGAGCCTTTGTTTCCTTATTTATAATGTAGAGACAACAGCACCAGTACCTACACTTCCTAATGCATTTCCATGCAAGAATGTAAAGCACCCAGCTTGACATCAGCCATGAGCTAGTGTAGTTAAATGATATTTATCACTATTGCTAGCTATGTTCTTTATTGTGGTTAACAGTAGTCACTTAAGACCCACCTGGTGGTGACAGTGTGACTCCTAGACAATTCTGTTTCCTCTTTACTCACCATGCAGAGTCAAAGCGTGAGGTCTGTATACCCCTGCAACATACACTTGATGCCAGGGTGTGGGAATACAGCCTGGGTACCAGGCTTCTTTCCTGTCCTCAGCCCACCCCTCTTTCTTTCAGAATGAGACAGATGAGAGCCAGATCCAAATGGCAGGTGGGGATGTGGAGCTGCCCCGGGAGCTGGCCAAGATGATTGAGGAGGACACAGAGGAGGAGGAGGAAAAGGCCTCAGTGCTTGGGCATCTGGCCAGCCTCCCTGGCCTGGATATTGGCTCCCTCAAGGACAAGGCCCAGACTACACTGGGAGACCTCAAGCAATCTGCTGAGAAGTGCTACATCATGTGACCATGTCCCCTGGGGTGGCCACTGGGACAGCCAGAGGGCTGGGATTCCATGAGGGCCAAAAGGGATCCATGCCCCACTGGGGCTCTATTCCCTGGCTCAGCTTGGCCTCTGACCCTTCTCACCCATGCCCAAGCTACCTCTGGTCTCTCCCTCTCCACAGGAGTGAGTTCCCGTTCCCTACCCTATCCCATGGCACAATGCCTGGGAGACCCTCAAGTCTGTAGGAAAGATCTGGTCCTTTCTGGGGGTGCCCCCACTTCCTGAACATGGGTACACTTACAGAGGGACATGAAACCCCTGGCACACACAGAGATACATTTCCCATGCATCCAGCTCTTTCAGGTACCAGAGGGGACCCTGGGCAGCACCCTCAGCAGACAGGAAGCTGCATTCCAGTCTCTGCCTCTATTGTCCTTGTAGGCTGCTCTTTCTGGCTTCATCTCGTCACCCGTAAAATGGGAATAGAGCAGATAATTTCTAACATTCTGGCATGGCATCCCAGCCACATGGAGCTGAGCCCATGGCCCTCCTTGGGCTCCTTGGGCATGGCAGCAGCTGTACCGTGGCTGTAGCAGCTGCCACCCGGGCTCTGAAGCTGAGCAGTGCTGAGAGGGGCAGAGTGCCAAAGATGGGGCTGGCACTGAGCAGCTGCCCAAGCAGATCCAGGTCTCTCTGGGCCCAGGGCCCAGCCAATTTCTGTTCTGTTCCTGCCGACTTCTCTCTCTGGATTCCATAGTTGGAATCTCCTCTTCCAACTCAGTGAAAAATAAAAATTCCGGATGACATGGCCATCTTCCCATTGTTTCCTGATCTGAAGTCTGGGAGCTCACAGTCCCCAGGGTCTTCCCATAGAGGGTGACCTCTTCCTTCTCACCTACAGCTTCACAGGAGAGAAGAGACATCAGCACCAGGGGACATCAGTGCCAGCCCCTATAGGAAGTTCAGACTCTCCTTGGAGGGCTCTAACTAAGGGAGCAGCAGGTCCAGCTTGAGACTGGGTGAACTAAGAAGGGCTCAGGGGCTGGGGCAGATGTGACAGCCAGCTGGATGGAGTTGTATGTGGCCAGATGGGGCATGGGGGTCACCACTCTCTCTGGCCCTTGTGTCTGTACCCATTCCCAAGATGCAATGTATAAACAGATGGAACCAGAAGAAGACAAAGCGAGTACACCTCAGCCCAGCACTGCTGTGTAGCTTCTTTCTGGTCCTTTCCTTCTGTGAGCCCACCCAGAATAACAATAATACATGTTTGACAGGGTGACTATGTGTTTCTTTCCTTCTGATCATTGGGGGATGGGACCTAAAGCCTCCTGCTTGCTGGGAAGGTCTTTTGCTTTGTAGGAGGGAAGTGACATCAGTGCCAGCCCCTATAGGAAGCCATATCTCTGACCCCAAAGGATGATCATCTGTACTATCCTTGACACATGACAGACCATATCAATAAGTAGTAACACTTTTTTTTTTTTCAGTACTGGGATTGAACTCAGGACCTTGTGCTTGCCAGGCAGGCACAGTATTACATTTTTTAAAACAAAGTGAGGGGGAAGAGGTGTGTAGAGACTACGTGATGCTGTGTCTGGCTGTGGTTAGCTGACACCTGGCTTGACATGGCCTGGGGTGGCCTGGTGTAAAGCAGGAAGCTGGTCTTGTCACTAAGCCTGGTGCCCTCAGAGGAGTTTGTTCCTATGCAGTGAAGCATGAGTTGAGACATTTTTTAAAATTGCAAAAATGAAGAGCTCAAGTGTCACACGGTGCCCTTATAGGGCTGGGCCAGTACAGTGGCACGAAGTGGGGGAAGGGTTGAGTCCACAGGGCAGGAGTCTCAGGGGGTGGAGGGTGACCACTGCAGGCTGCCTTAGTGCCCCCTCAGCCTAGGGATTGGGCAGTTGGAGGCTGAGCAGGGCCTCTGGGAGCCACCAGGATGGACTGGTGGGAGCAGGCTGGGTTCAAGGGCACGGTGTCACAAGACTCCTTATGAATGAGAACATGGAACATCAAAACTGCATACGGGTCAGAAAGGCAGAAAAATCAGCAGGCGGGAGCTGGAGACCCAGGGCTGTCACCACCTCCACCCCACCCCCACCTTGCTATCCTGAGTTCCTGGGGAGGGCCCTGCACCAGGGACAGCCCCCTCCTGACCTTCCCAAACTGGAGGAGGCCCAGCCACGCGTAGCAGCAGAGCCCGCGTCAGCGCTGCGCCCTCTGGGGCCCTCTGCTTAATGGGATCCGACAGCCCTTGCCTGCTCCGTGCTGCCAGGTCCAGAGCAGGGCAGAGTGGCAGGCAGTGTGTGTGTGTGTGTGTGTGTGTGTGTGTGTGTGTGTGTGTTTTTGGGGGGGATTACTGAGCCCTGTCAGAGCAGGGCTGTCAGGCGCCTAGAGTCAGGAAGGGGGGCTGGGTTTCTACAATAGTTCCTCTGAAGACTGGGAGTCCCAAGAGGCCCTGAGCTGTCTACAGTGACCCTGGAAGAGGGTCAGAAAATCTCTGGGGTGGGAGCCAGCCCTGGGCAGAGGTGGCTGAGAGGTCTCCACCTCTAGTGGCTTCACCCTGTCTGCCTTGGTCCTTCTTTTTCTGCTGGCCCTGCTGTGCTTCTGTGTCCCTCTCATTCCTAATCTGTGCCCTCCTATACCTTCCCTGCTTCAGGGCCTCTGGCTTTGGATGTGTCTGCCCAGCACTTAGACCTCGTTGTCCTGTTTTCTTTTCCTTTTATTTCATTCTTTTTTTTTTTTTTTTTTTTTTTTGAGACAGGTTCTTGCTCTGAAGTTCGGGCTGGCCTTGTGCTCACTTTCATAACCCCCTGGCTAGTCTCAAACTCCCAACGATCCTCCTGCCTCAACCTCTGAGTGCTGGGATCACAGGTGTACACCACCATACCCAGTTCCTCTACTCTTATTTTAAATGATCACATGCTTCCTAAGTGATCATAGAGGCCATAAAGAAACCCACTTGCCCCCCTAAACTTCTCTTTCCACAGTGCCTAGAATCTACAAGAGCCCTATAGTCCACAGCCTGGTGATCTGGGCCTTTCCCTTTCATGTTCCTATCCTCTCCCCCTTTTCTTTTCCTTCTTTCCCTTGCTGGTGGTCTGAGGACACAGGAAATGTCACAGGTGGAAAACACACCCTTCTGTCACTTCCCACACTCTTCCATTCCCAGAGAATGAGGGGAAACCAAGATGGCTGCCCCCCATATGGTCTCCCCTGTAGCACCCTTGGGGCTCCAGTTCTACTCCAAAGGACTTCAGGGAGATCTGTGGCACCTGGAGCCCTATCTACAGAGTCTCCAGTCCCTCTCCTGCTTCCCCCATCCAGACAGCTCAGGCCAGCAGGCCAGTTCTCAGCAGCAGCAGGAGGATGATGCTCCAAGGCCAGCTGGTCCTTGGGGTGGGGGGAGTAGGGAGGGCAGCCAAGGCTGGGGGTGCACAGATCTCCCTTTCTCTGATAGCCAGATGGTCCCTCTGCAGACACCAGAGGCCCCAGGCAGGCGCTGGGGACATCTGGGGTGTGTTCCCTCACTGAGTTGAGCTGCTCACAGTTACTGCTGCCCCAGCTGATGCTCAGCACAGGGGAAGGAGTTTGTTTTCTGTCCTCTGAACCCTGCCATCCTGCCTCTAACCTGGGATCCTCTCATCTTCATTGTTTCTAGTCTTCATGAGGCCTGGGAAGCAGAGTGATCAGGGTCCTGGCTACTCCAGCCTGTCTGGGAAAATGCCGTGCCTTCAAGAACACAGCCATGAGTTCTGCAGGCATCTATGAGCATGCACAGGGCTTCCTGTGCTTTTGTGTCTGTGAGACTTCAAGTATGTAGGTGTTAGTGTGGGGAAAATAGCCATTACTGTTCCTTCTCCCTTCATCCCTACCCTCACCTTCAAGGAGGGCTGAGGTGGCCAGCTGGCCTCTGGGGACAGGAGCCCTTCCAGATGACCTTGCACGAACTCAGATTATCCTCCACCCTGTTCCCAGTGAACCATAGGATAGGCATGCAGGCAGGCACAGCACACCTGGGAACTCCCAGTGGGTTCTTCAGAGGCTCACCCCCCTCTCCCTAAGCTGAGTCCAGATCTGGGTGCTCCCGTGGTGTGGCCCAGTGCTGGTTCTGAGCTTGGGTGACTGAGTGAAAGCGAAGGGTGGGACAGAGGTGGGGATCTGTACACTGCTGTGGAATATAGGTCCTGCTCTGAGACCTTCAAAGTATTGAATATGAGAGGTGGAAATAGCTTTTTTATTTAGGAACTAAACCCAGGGCCTCTACATTGAACTATATCCCCAGTCGTTTATTTATTAGACAGGGTCTTACTAAGTTGCACAAGTTCAAATCTGTGATCTTCCTGCCACAGCCTCCCAGAGCACTGGGATTACTGGTTTGGGCCATGACATTCAGTTATATTGAGTCCTCATCGGGCCCATTTGCAGAGATAATGTCTCTTTCCCTAGATTTAGAAAATGACATCTATAGGGCCAGCCAAATAGCTCAGCGGATTAAAGCATCTGCAAGCAGGCACAGGGACCAGGGGTTCAATCCCCAAGCCTGCTGTGCTGGCCCCACCCACAGGGCATGCTGAGACAGCAATGGAGACTGGGCATGGTGGCACACGCCTGTAATCCCAGCTCTTGGAAGGCTGTAAACAGGCGGATCACTACTAGTAATGAGACCCTGAACACCCTGTAGACACTTTCCTAAAATACAAAAAAGAAAATGACATCTTAAACTGCACTCTTATGTAAGTCCTGCCCACGTACATCACCTCATTCCCAATTCCCATGGAGCACCTACCCTCATTCTCATTGCCCCCTAGCAGTGGGAAGTGGTGCCCTCAGAAGGTGCAGGCCAGCAGCCACTACACACACACACACACAACTTCCAGGGGGTGGGTGCTCAATGATGTTGCAAAGCCTAAGCAGCAGCTCCTGCTGACTGGGGAGTCCACTCTCTTATTCCTCAGGGATACTCCCAATGACAGCTGGTCACACTAAGGGCATGGATCCTGGTGGAAAGATCCCTGCCCTTTCTCTACTCCAGCCTGCTGCCCACTATGGGCCCAGGTTGAGGGGTGGGAGGTCTGGAGACTGGCAGGGGATGGATGGGCACTTGGAGGACAGCTCCTGTCACTCAGCCCAGGTGCTGAGGGCAAGGGCCATGCTGGGTTCCCATGTCTGAGCTTCTACTGCCTCCATCCCCCTGGATGGTAGACAGAACAGAAGCAGTCAGTTTGATGTCCCAGGCTGAGGGTGGAGGTCATGCACCTACTAATCTTTTTATTTTATTTTATTTTATTTATTTATTTATTTTTGCACTACTGGGGATTGAACTCAGGCCCTTGTGCTTGCCAGGCAAGCACTTATTCTACTGAGCTATCTCCCCAGCCCTACCTACTGATCTTTATGGCGATGTCCTAGGGCTCCTCAGATTGCCAGTTTTCCTGGTTCCTCTTGCCCCTGCCTGGGATCAGAGCTACCTTTCCAGTTTTCCCAGAAGCAAGAAGAGTCAGTCATACAAGTACAGAAAATAATTTAATAGAGAAACAACAAATTGCATTCTTTATACCCAACCTCCAGCAGGAAGACACAGGACTCCTCATCTAAGGCGGTGTTTGAAGGCAGAGAGGTTTGGAGTTACCAATACCCTCTCCACCTTTTAACAAGAACCCATCAGTATGCACATTTGTTTCCAGGGTAAATTTACCATCCTCAAAAAAGCTGCATGGCGGGCCAGAGAGATGGGTCAGTAGAATAAGCACTTCCCTGGCAAGCACAAGGGCCTGAGTTGAATCCCCAGTTCCACAAAAAATAAAATAAAAAAAGAGCTGCATGGGCTGCAGAGATATCAGTGGGCCCAGCAGAGATGGAGATCCAAGCCCAGAAAGAGAAAGGGTAGCCCACAGTCACACGGGGGGGGGGGGGGGGACGACACACGACACAGCAGTGTCAGGCCTAGAACCAGGTAGCTGGTCTGCACTGGGTCCCCTGCAGTCTCAGGGAGGGTTAGGCAGTTCCCACACCTCCTAGCTCAGGGGCTAGTGGACGTGGGGTTTCCAGAGAGAGAGGTTTAAGGACTGAGGACCTTGCCCCTGAGTCACTCTACAAAGGACCTGATGTTAGGCTGGAAAAGTGGTCTTACAGGACTGAGGCAGGAGTAGGTGTGAGCCCCAACAGAGTGCACGCCGTATGATGGGGGTCCCTGAGTGCCCCACTCGGGTGAAGGGGGCGCGCTGGAATAACAGCATCCAGAAAGGGTGGCCCAGGGAGTGGCTGCCTGCTGGCAGAGAGGCTGGAGCTAAAAGGCCCGGCCCTCCTCTCCTCTCAGAGCAAAAGTGACAGGCACAGAGCTCAGGAGTCACTAAATGGCAAGGGTCCCCCAAGGGACCCTCTTCTCCCAGAGACTGGCCAGGGGCTCCAGCAGACAACACAGGCCACAGGATGTGGCTGGAGATGTCCATCCAGGAAGCTCCACAGTACATAGGGCCACTGAGTTCCTGGTGTGCCCTGCACTCCAGGTTGCCCAAGCTCTGTCCAGTTGTCCTCGATCACTGCAGGGTGCAAGCTGAGGAGGGGTGCAAAGGCAAAGTCACATTCTTCATTTTTTTTGTTTTTGAGACTGGGTCTTGCTATGTAGTCCAGGCTGGCCTTGAACTCACTATGTAGCCCAGGCTGCCCTCAAACGCATGACAATTCCTCCTGCCTCAGCCTCTCAAGAGCTGGGATTACAGATATGTACTTGCTTAGTTTAAACTCAGGTCTGCAGCAGGGAAGGCAGAGGCCAGGCCCAGCCCCACCATCCTCCCTCCAGTGAGGTACCAGGCCCCAAGTAGGACTCACAGCTCCGCACGGACTCAGAAAGCCCCTCTTTGTCCAGGCCCTCTGCTTCCCAGCGGGACTCCTTCATCTGTGGGACATTGAGGCAGTACAAGGGGTGAAGCAGTCAGAGGCAAACACAGGAGCCACAACACACAGAGGTGACAGAAGACAGGCAGCCATAGATAAAAAGGCAAGGACCCACACACCCTCAGCCTGTCCAGACCCCTGTGCCCACCTTGAGCTGCTCCTTGAGGTACTCAGCCCGAGCCATGAGGTTCTGAATCTGCCGAAGGAGGATGCACCCGTGTGGGTGAGCCGGGCTCCACCCCAGTTCCTCTATACTCAAAGACACCCCACGACTTCTGCCCCACCAGAACAGCCTCCCTGCTGACTCGCTGCATCTCCCCAGGAGGCTCCCAGCCCAAATGCCCAGACGCCACCCCACAGGCAGGGATCTCTCCAGGGAGCCTGTTTTGGCCCCGTGGGCAGGAGCAGGTAGAAAGGAGGAGAAAGCCCAGGCTCCCAGCTCTGCTGGCACCTCTGTGTGAAGCAGATCCCGCCGCCGGCCTGGGGCTTCAGCTGTAAAGAGAGGGCAGGCAGTGAGGACAGGGCAGCCTGGCACAGGCGGGCGGTGTAGTCAGGGGCTTCACCTGCCAGCAGCAGCAGCAGCTCCCCCAGGCAGTGCTGGTAAAGGTCCAGGGCATCCTGCTCCCCGCCCCCACTGGCCTCTTCTTCCTGGAATGCAGGGACACTGGTCACTTGGGCTCGCGTTTGGAATCCTCCCTGTCTTATCCATAGCTCTCTGCTAGGCACAAACCTTGGCCATGGCAGCTGCAGCCACTTCCAGGGCAGCAAGGAGGCGTGGTTTGTCCCGGGCCATTTCTGGAGTAAGGGCAAAAGTTGGGGTGAGGGGACAGCACATTTGCACATCACAGGGAGGCCACCCCAACCTGCCCGCTTTGGGAAGAGGAAGAGGTTTGGGAGGGTAAGCCAGGACCAAGGCCCACCTCTCAGCAGGTCCCGGGCAGAGGTCCCCTGCCGTAGCAGGGCCTGATTGGAGGATGCCACGATGGCCTTGAGCTCCTCGGCGCGGGACACGTACTGCCCCACCTGCAGGATGGCAGGTGTGAGGGCTGCCTACCCTGCCAGTGCCTGTTTCCAAGCTCTCCTCTGGGCCCTCAGCAACTGCCCCAAGCTGTATTCAGGACAGGGGCCAGAAGAAGGTGGTCCAACCTTCCCTATCCTATGTTAGTTACAGAAGGGGTAGCCCCAGTCCTGAGAGAGCTGGGGTACCCAGACCCTCCCCCTTTTGCCATCTATTTCAGCTTGGGAGTCTTACCAACCTTTGCCTTAATTGCCTCTTTCCGCTGGGCATCCACTTCATCTGCAGAAGGTGAGGTTAATATGAGGAGTCTGAGGAACACCCTGCCCCACACAAGTTGTCCAGAACCCCCCAGACACCAAGTTCCAGGGGTGACCTCAGCCTCTTTTCCTGAATAGGGTATTTCCTCTGGAATCTGTGGCTACAGCTACATTCCCCCCACCCCATCCCCAGCCTGCCTGTACCTAGGTAAAAAGCCTAACTCAGGACTCACAGTGCAGGGCAGGAACAAAGAAGTCCAGTGCCTTGCAGTACAGCGACAAGGCGGCCGTGGCATCCCCCTCCTGGTCCTTCTGCACAGCCTGCACCACTAGAGCCGTCTGCAGGACAGGCACACAGGAGTCATGATAGGGTAGAGACTGGATCCTCAACCACCCCCGCCCCCCACTGTCGTCAGCCTAACCGCTCGCTCCAGGCTCTCCCTGCTGGGCATGTGTTCCAGGTCCACCCATCGGTGGGCGAAGAAGTCCTGGAAGGAGATGCGACGGGTGGGGTCCCGCTCCAGGAGCCGATGAAGCAAGTCCCGACAGTCTCGGGACAGTGGGGGTCGAGAGGGTAGCTGTAGTAGGAGGAGGCAGGACTGGGTGTCAGCACCCTAAGGGCATATCTGAGACCCAGCTGGAACATGGTGCGTCAGGATAATGTAGCATGGATAGCCAAGGTCCGCCCACTGCTACATGGTCCCTTCCCCGGTGGGAATGGGGCCTAAAATCTCAGGCCCTGACCCCTCCATCCCTGGGGGGTCACTGATGCTCTTCCCCTGGGCCAAAGCTCACCCACCTCAATCACCCGGTTGCTCCGGATCTTCTCCTCCAACTCCAAGAACGACCTGGAGGCAAAGGGCGGCTGGCCAAAGAGGGCCTCTGAGGAAGGAGGCAGAGTGGAGGCTGAAGGGGTTGAGCCTAGCCCAGCCTGCTCTGGGAGAGGAACCTGACGTCCCTCAGGGAGAGCCTTGGCCCTTGGGGTAGGGAGCAAGGGACAGCGGTCTCACCATACAGGATGACCCCCACAGACCAGAGGTCCACACGGGCGTCATACTGCCGCTGGCACACCATCTCGGGGGCCATGTAGAGTGGGGAACCTCGGAGCACATGCTTCTCATCCCATGGGGACATGTGCTGTGCAAAGCCAAAGTCTGTAGGCAGGTGACAAGAAGTAAGAGGAAGGTGGTGAGGCTCACATCCTAGAGGCCTGGGCTCCTGACATAAAGCCTCACCTCAGGCTCCCCCCCAGGATACAAGCTAGGGCCCAGCCTGGAAATACCACCCACCTGCCTGCCTCTGCGACACCTTCTTCCACACCAGCTGCAGGAACAAGTGCCCGGTCTCTCAGTGTCCAGCAGCTTGTCCTGCAGCATGTTCTCTAGCCTCCAGCTCAAGTCTCTCTTTGTCCAAGTCTCTTCCGGGCCATACCCACCCTCCTGATACCCTCCTAGGCTACCCCAGACTGAGTTCACAGTCCTAGCCCCAACCCCGGTGACGGACTGTCTGGGCCTAGGTCACAGACAGGTTCCTGCTCCTGGTCACTCTATGGCACTATTTCCCATGACTGCGGGGCAGAGCACCAAGCTTGTACACAGATTGAGTCCCAACACTGACTCCTACCAAGCCCCAGCTCTACCTGTTACATCAATGGGCTTGAGTGGGGTGGCCTGGGAAGGTCCTGCTGACTGGCAATGAGATCAGCCCTGACACCTGGGCTGTTCCTGGCTGGTGACTCAACAGAGCTCCTTGAGAACCCAGGCTGCTGCAGGACCCCACACACAGAGGCCTCTCCTCACCCACCCTGAAACCTCTCCCATGCTGTTCTAGACTCAGACCTGCCAATTTCAGGTGGGGCTTCTCCAAGGAACTCAGAAGAATGTTCTGTGGCTTCAGATCCAGGTGAGAGATGTTCCGCTCGTGTAGGAACTGCAGGGCACTAGCTGGGCAGTGGGACCCAGGGGGATATAAGTCAGAGGAGCCCCTCTGCTGATCCCTCCCTTACTCAGGCTTCCACCAGCCCCTCTGGCCACGCACAGCCCCACTTTCCATCTGGCTCTCCACTGAAGGCTTTACATACAAGCACCAGGCTCCTGTTATTTCTAAGAGTCTGCCACCCTCTAAGAGCCTTCCTCCCTCTGCACTCTTAATTGTCCCTTCCTCCCAGAAGCCTCCTGTGATGCCCTCACTGCTAAGGATCTTGTGCTTTCCCTTGCCAAAGCACTTGAGTTCCACCTACTGGGCCACGGAATGTTCTACAGGATCCTTATGTTATGTTCCACTGTGGAAGCCTGATCACCCTATGAGGTGTTTCTCTCATTTCTCTCACAGCATCCTGAAGCCAGGTATGGGGATGGAGGGCAGAAAAGGCCAAGGCTCAAATCCTGGGGATAGGGTGGGCTGGGGGAAAAGCAGCAAACATGGGATGGGGGTCACGCTGGGGTCAGAGGCATTTACCCAACTGCTGCATGAAGACCCGAGCCACCTTCTCAGGCAGAATCCTACGAGTGTGGATGAAGCGAGACAGGTCACCCCCTGCACAGAACTCCATGATGAGGTAGATATTGTCACTGTCCCACTGTGGTTAGGGGGAGAGGAGCAGCCTGAAGAGAGTGTCCCTTCTCCAGTCCCCTGGGGGAGCCCTGCCCCAGGCTGGCACCTGGAAGTCTTTCAGCTGCACGATATGGGGGTGCCGGATGCCCTTGAGGATCTCAATCTCAGTCAGGAGGTTTTCCACCGACGCCTTGTTCAGACTTTTCTTGGCCACACACTTTATGGCTACCACCTCGCGGGTGTCCTTCTATGGGGACAGGAGATCTGGGGGTGCCTTCCTGGAAGTGCCTGGGCCGGGCCTGGCGGGAAGGGCTCTAGGTCCGTCTGCTCCCTCCTCTCCCTTCCCCACCTTGCCTCCCGGGTTCCATTCCCAGTCAGGCACCTGATTCTGAAACTCTGGCTTCCCCGGCCTCTTCCACCTGCCCTGCATCCCAGGTGCCCACCAGGCCGGCTACCAGGTCTATGGCACTGCCCGCAGCCTCCTAACTGGTCCCTGCAGCGCCCTCCCGGACTCCTCCCAGCCCAACAGGCGATTTCCGTTTCCCAGTCTTCAGCTGCCACTGCCACCCGGGTCCCCAATTCTCCGCGGTGCTCCAGCACACACCCACCTTGGCATAGGCCTTGTACACTGTGGCGTACGTGCCGCTGCCCAAGCGCTCAGTCAGGACAAAGCCGTCCAGCCGCGGGGGGCCCCAGGCGGGCCCCGCCATGCCCGCGCACTGCAGGTGCTTCCCGGTTCCGGTGTGGGGTGGCTGGCAAGCAAGGCTTTGGAGGCCCGACCGGAAGCGCTGGGAGACTCCGCCCTCGCCCGCCCCGCCCCCTCCTTGCTCTCTACCACCCAGTGAAGCCGGTTTGGGGGCGCGAGGCCCGAGGAAAAGGGCTGCTGATGATGTTAACCAGGTGTCCTGCCCTGGCTGGGTCACCCACGTGCTGGGCAGGGTAAAGCAATCTGGCGTGGTACAGAGTGGGGGTTCCAGGAGAGCCCCAGGTGCTGTTTCTCAACACCCAGAGCTCTGAAAGTAAAGTTTGAGAAAAGAAAATGCCTCTGGGAGAGGTCGTCTGCCTCCCCCTGATGTCACCCAGTTGGAAGGGATTTATACCCAGGTTGTTGGAACTGACCAAGCAGGGGGCATCTTGAGTATCCTCAGTGCCTATCTGGGGTGGCTCACACTGTCCTCCCCCACCCACCAGACATCAGGACTTCGTCTGAAAATGTCACTTTTATTTAAGCACAAAAATGGAGTCATAACATATACATTTGTACATGAAGGAAAAAAATACTAGAAAGGAATTTACAAACCCCATGACTGTCATTGTCATTCAGTGGCACCAGGCCTGAGTGGGCTGTGGAAGACCTGCCTCCCACCCACACCCAGAAGTTTGGGAGCTTTAGACTCCCAGGCATCCTTTCCTGGGTGGGTGGAGAGTGCTCCTCCTGCATCCCAAGTGTCCTAAGCTGGATATTGCTGAAGCAGCAAGGGGGAAGGGACAGGAATGGGGCTAAGGCAAATGGTAGCAGTCCCTCAGGAAAGAAAAATCAAAACAAACAGGCCAAGCAAACCACACCAGGATAGCCAGACCTTCCTCCTACTCACTGGGCAGGCCAACTGGATCAGTGTTCCTCATCCTTCCCCATCCCTCACCGTAGCCACTGGACATTTAGAAAGGCTCACCAAGGGCCCCAGAGAGCCACAGGTGCACATCAGGAGGGTATGCAGGGTTTCAGGGTATATGAGAAAAATGATTGTGGGTGGCCAGCTAGAGAAGCTCGGAGACCACCCTAGAGTGATTCAGGGATCAGAGATGCCCACCCTTCCAATCCAACTGCAGCTCACCAAAGGGAAGCCCTTGGGAAGCTTAGTCCGGACTGGCAGGAGAGTGGAACTATAAAGGCCACAGACTCAGTAGGCCCTGGGACACGGATGGGCAGGAAACTCCAGCTATGATGGGCCCAGGATGGACCACATTGTGTGTGGGGGGATGGGGAGCATGTGTGTCCGGGGACGAGAGCTTTAGGCCCATTGCTTCCAGAGACAAAAGTATCTTACCAAACCACCACCAGACAAGGAAAGACAGCTTTGTTATTTTTTCTTTTCTTGTGTGTAAAAATAGTCCCTGTCCCTCCCTCTCCCTTCCCTCTGTGGAAGGGACAGTTGGTTGCTGAGCATGGAGGAAGAGCCACAACAGTAACCCCCCGCCACACACACACCAGGTGGGTGCTGGGCATCCCCACTGCATAAGGCACTGCAGAAAGTGCAGCTCAAGGCAGGTGCAGAAGAGGCTGGCAAGAGGCCAGAGCTGGGCTAATTCCCTTGGAAGGCTCCCTGGGCAGCAGAGGAGGCAGCGCTTCGGAAGGTCCTGCTGCTGAAGATGCCCTGGGAAAACTCCTCCTGGGCTTGCTGGAAGCTGGCTCCTGTCCGGCGGTAAAAAGAATGCACCTGGGGAAAAAGATGGATGAGGAATGTTGAAACTCAGTCACCCAGGTCACACCTCCAGGGGGCTATCAGGAGCTGACCCCGCATGCCCACCCATGTGCCTTGAACAAAAGCACAGGGCCTCCTGAGTGGAGAACCCAGACAGAAGCAAGGCCCAGCCCCACTCACCCGCTGCAGGAGGAACAGTGAGAGCCCAGCACAGAGAGAGAAGAAGCCAGCTACCACCATCATGATGATCGACACAGCCAAGGACTCGTGACGGAATGTAGACAGGGCTGCGATCCAACCACTGCAAAGGGAAGAGGTGGCCAGAGGGCACTAAGTGGGACTGGGCCCCTGAGTGAGGATCCTTCTCCCTGGGGCTGCTATGTCCCAGCTGCCACCTGGGCATTGTCCTACAGCACGGGTCCCCAGTATTCCTGTCTGTCAAAAGGAACAGCCTCATGCTTCCTGGCATGGGGACAGACAAATAAATGTAACAACTGAGAGTCCAGGAATCAACCCATGTACTTAGCATCAGTTTATTCTTGACAAGGCTGCTAAAACCATAGGAGAAAAAAGTGTCTCTTCAACAAATGGTACTGGTGCAACAGATCCTTACTGCCCCGATAGAAAATCTAACTCCAAATTGGCCAAAGACAATTGAGACTGGGTGTGGTGGCACATGCCTGTAATCCCAGCTCTTGGGAGGCTGTAAACAGGCAGATCACGGATCACAGATCACGACAAGTCCAATCTAGTAGTGAGACCCTGAACACCCTATAGACCTTTCCCTAAAATACAAAAAAAACAAAACAAAAACAAGAAAAAAAACAACCCCCCCCCAACAAATTGGCCAAAGATCTAAATACAAGGGTCATGGGAGGCTGAAGCAGGAGGATCACCACAAGTTGAGGCCAGCCTAAGCTATACAGAGTGAGACCCTGCTGTAAAAGAAATAAACCATAACACACATGGCAAAAACAGACATGGCTCCTCATGACCTTAAATTTGGCAGTGGTTTCTTAGATGTGACACTAAAAGCACAAGAAACAAAAGAAAAAGACAGATAAACTAGACTTGATCAGTATTAAAAACCGTAAACTAACTGGACTCTGGGCTGAGCTCAATGGTAGAGCTCATGCCTAGCATGTGTGAGGCCTTGTACCCAATCAGCACCAGAAAATTAAGCAATAAAAATTTCTGTGCATAAAAAAGACTATATTCAAAGAGTGAAGTTGAGTCTTCTAGTGAACATCTGTAATCTTAGCACTCTGGCAGGCCAAGGCAGGAGGATCTCAAATTTGAGACCAGCTTGGGGATCTTCATGACTTAAGAAAACCTTGTCTCAAAACAAAAAATAAAGGCTGGGTACGGTCATGCACACCTGTAATCCCAGCACTGGGGAGGCTAATGCAGAAGGAGTTCAAGCCCAGCCTGGGCTATATAGTGAGTTCAAGAACAGCCTGAACTGCATAGCGAGACCCTGTCTCAAAAAAAAAAAAAAAA